ATTTTTATATGAGGTGTTTGCAAAAATGTTGATCAACAATTTCCATAGGTAAAAATGATAAGGAAATGGGAAATATCATTGTACATAACGGCTGAATTCGATAGTTTTGATCTTCCTCTGCATGAAAGAACAGCTTTCCATTTAAAATTATTAATTTGTTCAGCATACGCCGACAATAGTCATGGAGCGTGCGAAATTCTCCTTCTTCCAAATACATTATTTATTTATTTTTTTTTTTTGTGTATTTGAAGAGATCTGCTACCGAAGCCCATTAAACAACTTTAGAGACTTATGGCGATGCTGCTCCCAATTGTCGGTTCTGCATGGCGACATGAATTGACGAAAAATGCAAATTTTTAGCCACTTGTTGCTAGAGTTGTCCAGCGTATACTGTTCGAATGGGAAGTGCTGCCACACCCAGCATACTCAACAGGCGTAGCGCCTCCTGATTACCACTTCTTCGGTGCAGTACGGCTTGGCTGACACGCAGGTTCTCCAAATTGAAAAAGTGCAAGAAGAAGATGGGTCAGGGACGATTCGCTGCCAAGCCAATAGAAGGTCTTTTGGCATGATATCGCAATATTGCCAAAAATAATGTAAAATATTGCAGAAAATGATTGAAACTATTTTGATTAATATATATTTGTACCGATTTTTCAAGTGAAACACTGATCAAAACTTTGGAAACATCATAAATGTATATATATATATATATATATTTTTTTTTTTTTGCAAAAATTATTATTCTGCTCTCATTCCATCAGCGTTCACCACCAGCACTTATCGCTTTTTCAATCCTTTTGTTGTAGTTGTATTTTAACAATCACTCTTTCTTTCTTTCTCAAATATCTCAAAGTCTACAATTAAAAATTAGAAATGTATATTTTTCAAAGGATTTTAAAATTATCTTCATCTTCTGATATTAATATTAGTATCGGCGACATTAGCTGCCTCAATAGTTTCGGGTCATTGTTTACATTGAATAATATTGTATAACCAATACAGGGCGGGTGTGTGTGTAAAGAGTAAACGTTTTGGAGAAATTTTATTAAAAATCTTTTTCTTTTTCGATTTTCGATCGCATTTCGACAGATGGAGCTGAAAAAGTTTTTATCGCAAGATGATGCTCAAAAATAAGGTCCATTGATAGCTAAATGCCTTTGTGAATTACCTATCAAGTGGAAAAACCGAAGAACACAATTAGATACACCACAGCTGATTGCAGATTGACAACTATATAAGGGTCAATGGCTGCCTGTTTGCAATAATGAGGAGACTTGACGGCCTCAGCAAGCGCCATGCTACCTTGAAATTGGGAACATTGATTTATTGGAAACAAAACTCGATGACTGCTAAAATGCTTTTATTACAACAAAAGGACCGTCCGCTGTACCGTCCGCTGGCCTAAGTGCACCAACCAACCAAGGCATTCAAAGGTAAGCGATAAGCGAAACAATTTTACATAATCATAAATGAAAGTCATTGGATATTCCTGCTAAAACACGAATAAGAAGTGAAAAAAATAAAGAGAGTATGAAACATACACTCACCATGATGGGATGATTCATGCACACCCGCCACTGCAGACAAGTTCGTTTGAATTTTCAAACGGATTTAAATTTTTCGAAATTATTTCAATCTTTGAGAAGTCTGGAAGTGTTTAAACATGCTTTACACACTTTCTAAAGCTTATTTTATTTACTTTTATTTAAGCACAAGATGTCTATGCCAACTCTTAAATATCCTCATTATCAATTTTTGCATCTATCTGTGGGATGGTAAAACGAATTGGATTCTGAGCCTTTACCAAAGAATGTATGAAACAAAATGAAATTGTGAATGTATTCCTGAGCGAACTAAGGCCATTTTTAAACAGTGTCCAAGATGGCAACAGCCAAGTGTCTACTTTCTCTCTCTCCCCCTCCATAAGCATAAACTTTTCCCGACAACTCGCAGACACAATGGAACATACTGCAGAATTTTAGAGCGTTTCGAACGTTGTGCACATATCTCTCATTTACTTGTATTCTCTAAGGCTTTTCCCTTTAATTGCTGCAAAAATTGTAACAAAATTACCATATCAATATCCCTGAATGGTAAAACAACAACAAACAAGAAAGAGTTCAAATTACAGGCAGACTTTTTACTGAAAGTGAAACAAGTTTTATGCGTATATGTATCTTCTATGGATGAATTCAATTTGACCTAAAGAACAGGACAAAATAAAAATATGAAGGTAGAGATTCACTAAACTAACAGGAAACGAGCAAAATCATATACCTTCAGAAACGTGATATAGCGAACAATAAAAACTTTTAAGATTTCCGGCAGAAAAAAAGAAGAAGATAAAACGGTTGTAAAATGTAAAACAACACAAACCCCAAGAGATTTTTGAAGTTAGTTAATAACTTTTCTTTAATTAAAGAAAATATTCATTTACCACCTTCCCGCCTATCTATTTCAGGTTTATCTATCGTTTTGGTCGCAATTTTTTCTTTTCAATGTAGATACATTTTCGCATCTAGCATCGAAAAGGTTTAAATAAACAGAAGTTCAAAGCAAATGAATATAATATCTTTGCCAGTAACATCACCTCAAGCCACGTCATTTGAATCCTTAGTTTATATATTTTATATGAAGTTCTCCGTTTTTCTAAGTATGTATGTAGTATGTAGTGAATCTGTCATTGTGTTGTTTGCAACACTCAATAATGAATGTAAGGTTTATTTATTGTTTTTCATTTTGCCCTCTCTGTCTTCAAAAATGAACAGAGATCTTCAGGCAGTTGAAGAATTTCATATGCAGCATACGAGAAAAAGCGAAGAACCTGTGAAGCGAAAAGATAAATTATTTTGCAACGCATAAATGAATAGAAAAGAACATTTAATGGTGATGGTGAATATATAAAAATCACAAATTTTATCCCACACTGGATAAACGGCAATTAATCGATAGAAATTTTGTTTTGGACTGTTATATGAGTTTGATAATGCATGAGAGCTTCATTATCCGTAGCAGATCGAACAATTCAGCCCTTCTTTCTTCCATCACCCGCGCACCATTCTCAGGAAATTCTATTCAAACTTTTATTTACCGCATTGCAATGAACAAATGTATCTGCCTAATTTTCGTGGACGAGGATCTTCAAAAAGATGCTTGTCGAATAAAATTCCATACATGATTTGAAAACAATGCATTGACATCCTTTCCAAAGCATTACGCAGATTTTTGAGGTATGTAAAATTAATACCCAAGAAGATTAGAACCATCAAAACTTGCCTCGAAGCCCTTGACAACATACAGCGATGGGCTCGGATGCTCATAGACGGCCGGAGTGTTTCCAAAAATCTCGATGAGTCAAGTTTCACTTTTCTGCTTTAAACTAAGTCGCCGTGAGGACTTCAGCATCGGCCGGCAGGCGATTATATTTTCTAGCCTTCCGTGTAAGAATTTATATACAAAACATTTGCAACGGTGGAAGAGGAAAACTGAGAAACTGACCATTTCCGTATATTGCAAACAAAATGCCTTTGCCCATTGCAAACTTATTGTTCATTAGTTACAAAAATATTATAATCGTCCCATATATAGGGAAACAAAACTTAAGATTTAGTTAGTTCACTTATTGTCAAATCATTTCTTCGAATCTGAGTACTTGTAAGAGACTCGCCGCTTCAGTTTTGTAGTCATACTGAGAATTAAAGTTAAATCAATAATTATAAAATTGCAACTACTTATTTGTGCAAAAAATGATCGCATATAAATATGGCGATGTTGGCCTAGATTCTAAAATGCATATTATATCTATTCTGCCGATTATTGCCGACTAGTATCAATGATAGTAAAAGGGCATCTGAAAACTCAAGTCTCAGTTTCATTTATATCCTATATTAAATAACTTGCACACATCACGTTACATACGCTCTAAAAGATATTTCACCAAATAACTTCTTATTTTATAGTAAAAAATCATATTTTCTCAGCTTTTCACTTATAAAATGGTACAAGTAGGGAAAAAGTAGGAAAGTGTTTCATAAACTAAGTTATCAAGCGGAGAATATAGGAATTGTATTTTGTGAAAGGAATGGCTCCTCACTATGAGTAATGCTGTTGCTGATCCTGTCCTCATGCTGATTAATTCTAAGGTGGCTATAATCTACGTTTAAATTAAGTTTCAAGAGTATTTATATTGTAATTTCGTAGACTTGATTTAATTTAAAAACTTTCTGACTATTTTTCCGAATATCTTTACATATTTTCCTACAAACATTGTTTCATTGTAATTAAGAGTCAAGCCACGTGCAAAATATATGTTATAATGCCATAATAACTTCTACATATTTTGATTATAAAAAAACAAAAGACAAGTGAAAAAATTGTCCTCTTTTAATAATCCATAATCCGGAATCATCAAACATATGGTTAATGGTTAGATTTAATAAAACATCGACTTTATCATCATTAAGCTTTTAGCTAAATACTTCTTTACTGGAGAAATCTGGTAGCATTTATACATTATTTTCGTATATGGTTTTATCGAAAGTCGTCTGGTAACTCTAATATATCGAAGTTTTTACAAGCAAAAATTTTCAGAAAAAAAAAGACGAAAAGAAACAAAGAGTAACCAAAGAGAAAGAGAGAGCATAAAATGACGTATAGAAAAAGTCAAACAAAAAATAAACTGAAAAAACATTTGTTTAAATTAATGAGATTAAAATGAAAGCAAAAAAATAAAGACAAATGCGAAATGTCTGTAACTATACAAAATCAAAAATACCCCATTTTCCACGAAAATCAATAGACCTGCGACAGACGACTGCAACAACATTAACAAAGTATTGATTTTTCCTCTTTGAAAGATACGCGTGATTAAATAAGTGAAATATACGGGAAAAAAGAGAACCTAGCATGAAAAATTGCAAAAAAAAAAACTTTTGTCCGCACATAATAAAATATACATTTTGATCCATACTAACTGATCACAAATATTGTGGACTTACCTTTTTTCCATTAGTATTAAGAGACAAAAACCTTACATTAAACACACTACACTGTAATTAACATAATATTCATTTGTTGTTAAATTAATCAACATATTATTTACAAGCTTAATAAGTTTCACTATTTTTTTTTTTCGTCCCGACAAAATTCAATAAAGAGATTACGGCAAGAAAAATTTCCTTCGTACACAAGTGCTAGTTCTTTTACTTATTACAAAAAAAAACTAGGTGTACGTGACGAGAGAAACAATCATTCACAATATACTCTGTAAAGCATTATTGTTGCAAAAACAATGCTGTGCACTGTAAACTAATAACTCAACAGCTTACACTCGATTTGGGAAACGAAACGATAGCATAAATTCGCAAACTTCTGGCATTTTTATACATTTTCAACATTTACATAACAATTCTGTTGAAAATTCACTCACTTTTTAATAACCACGTATCTTCGAAATTATAATCTAAACATTAGCTGCACTTTAACAATTTTTAAATACATCTAGCTGCACCTTTGGACTTTTGCAAAGAGTTCAGAGTTGTTGTTGGATGATTTTAAGCGAATTTTGGTTACTTCCACTCATATTGTTGAACTGATAATATCACTCTTAATATGCACTTTACGCACTTTACTAATAACTGCTTTGTCAAAAATGTATCCACGTGAAAAGAACAAACTGCAGCGCTAAACAAACGTTGTCGAACGTAAAATGTTAATTGAGATCCACCACGATTTTAAATCTTTCCTCCTTCACCGATACTAAGGCCAATATTTTATTTACCTTGTCTTTTACAAACAATTGACCATTGTCAATGCTCAGAATCAATCGAGGAAACTAATTAATTCACATTTCGCACCAAAGACCAACGCTTCCAATACATCTTAATATGACCATACGATTCATGCATGTATGTGATTGCTTAACATAAGCAAACATTTATTATTTCATTTCAGTGCGTCAGTCATCGATCGCTTGTGGTGGTGTTGCACCATATACTGAAACATATCGAAGGAATAAAATCAGAGATTTCGATCAAAGTAGCGTGATCAGTAAGTTCAAATGCTTAATAGCTCTTCCGTACAGTCGAAATATTTTTTGTGATCCTTTTTCTATTTCATTACCGTTTCGAAATTTTTTTGCTAGGATCTTTGATCTTTCGTCTATCTGAATAACCACCAATGTCAGTTGACGTTGAGGCAAATAAAAATGCGTTAACGGACAGAAACAAAAATTTGGTGAACATAATATTATTGATACATATCCTTGTATTATTCCATTATCGAACAGCGGATTTCGATTTTTTGCAGTGTCAACACCTAATTAACTAAGTAACTACCGCATAAATACTAAACAAATACTGTATTTCTCGGGCAATAAGACGTAACTTTTTACATAAAAGAATTGACTCAAGTTTTGAGTAGGGCTTATGGTCCGAAAGAACATTTTTTCTATAAGTAGTCTCTAAACTTGAGGTGTGACAACAATAGTTCAAATGGAACTTATCCGAACGGTGACAATAACGAGACGACTATCGGCCACATTACTTTTACTTTCGATTTATTGCAAGGAAATTTTAACAAAATTAAATTTCCTATTTTTACATTTGTTTTGCTCATAATAACAACAAGCCAATAATAATAACAAAGCAAGAAAAAGGAATTCAAGAAACGGGAACAATCAAGGTCTAGATATGAGAAAAACAAAATCAAGAAATCATAAAGTATTTGTTAAATTTGTATCTATAAATTATTTATTGAGCAGTTTAAATTTTTAAATCAGGATTTTCTTCAAGAAAAATACAACATTTTGTTTTCATTTATTTCGTGTTCTTCTTGCTTCTTGGTGTAGGTTTCTTGTTCTTCTTATTATTATAGATTCCAAATAAAAAGCATAATTTCAATCTAATAATTCTTCTTTTTCTTCACAATCCAATCATTGCAAATGGACACCGTACCGGTTAAATATTGTTTTACTTATTTCAGTGTTTTGGAAAGAAGACTGATAGTACATTGCTAGTACCAAAATTAATTGTATTTTTATAATAAATAATTAGTGGAAGTTGTATTGTACGAGTTATGTGAACAATAAATAAAAATTTTATTAACATTAAAATAGATTTTTCTAAATATCGCCTTATACATTTGAAGTGCCTCTTATCATAGGGCGCCTTTTATGGTTCGCAACATATAGCAAACAAAAATGGCACACCGTCTGAATGAATATTAATAAAACAGAAAATTTGTATATACAACTCATGGTGAACAGGAGTTGTGATTTTTTCTTTTTTATATAAATTGAGGAAATTTTTATTAACCAAAATTCTTCGATAAAGAATGTGTATTTTTGAAATTGATTATTAGCGGTATTAATTTAGGTAACGATATTAACGAACGACGAAAAAAAAAATTTCGAAATGAAACTTGGTAGTTTTGCATTGCGCTATTAAACATTTTCAAGGTCGTTGCTATGACGCGCTTGTTGAATGGACCGTATATTCCTATTAGAAAGTATATTTTCTTGTTATATTGAGATATGGTAATAATGATGACAACAGTCTTGTGCATATCGTTTACATCCTTGAGTTGACTGCAAATCAAATCCAGATTTTAGTCTTAGATGTATTTAAGTGATGTTTTTTTTACCATGCAATTAATAAGTTCATTTCTATTATGTAACATTTTAATTCATTTCCATTTGTTTCAAAAATCAAAAAAGACCCCAACAATGTGTTGCAGTAAACTTCAGTATTGATCGTACAGTAATTCATAGAAAATAAATATAAATGCGCTTTTTCTCCGAATGTCTATATATATGCTTTCGAAATGATATTGGAGTAAAATATAACTTATTTTTTGGGCTTCACTCTTGGTTGTAGAGCTGGTGGGTTTGTGTTGCACTTTTTTCATTATTTTGATGATGGAAAAGTCTTTCAATTAAAGTAAGTCCCTCTTGAAGATATGAAAATTAAAAAATTTGGTTTTATGATATAACGATTGTGACATATTTGTAGGTACTAGGCCGTTGGTGGAATGAAGCTTCGCTTATATTTCCAAGCCAGGGGGATATATTTAATTTATAAAAAAGGGGGAGGGTGGAGATTTAATCTATTAATGTTTTTATATTTATATATTATATAAATAACTTAAAAATTCATAAAATTTCATAAAATGGGTATATAGGCGACGAATCACTGTGTCAACAGCCAGAAAGCGTCTAGTTCATAACGATGTAGCCCTTAAGTTCTCTTTGTAACTAATAAAGACGCCACACTTCACAAATATATGACCGTTATGCTCGATAAAGACTCATTTAATGAGGAAAATGAAGAAAATGTTCGAAACTTTAGATGGATTAATCCATTTACCTACTCTTGATTCTTGGAATGGAGTTTTTACCGAAAATTATTCAGGGTGATATTTCATCACCCGTCTCGCTTAATACGCTTGATTTTAATATTCCTACAAGAGCCTCAAAAAATTTCATCCCACTTCGCTTGGTGCAGTGTAGGAGGAATTATGAACTCTTTGCTTCTTTTCATGTTGTTTGTAAACAATTTAACGACTTTTGTTGTTTATTCTCGATGAACGATTCAAGCGATTATGTGAAGTCGGCCTTGCTTAGTTTACGTTATCAAGAAGACTCGTCAATTCACCTTAAGTCGCCTTAGGGCAAATTTTTAAGTCCTGCGGTTCTTTGCAATATAAATGTTATTTTATAGATATGTCCCGTTCTCCTCCTTCACGTACTTGCGAGGAATGAAGTGTTCATTTCAACTGTTTACTTGGTTTAACATTTAATTCTGGCTACTTACGTGGTGGGTTTAAATTTGCTTGTTAGTCTTAATTTTGTACAAATATATTTTACTTATCATTTTTTTCATATTATCTGATTGATTTATCTTATATTTGCCGAATGGTCTATTTAAATAAATAAAGAAAAAAAATAAAAAAGCACGAATAAATAAATACATGTGATTACCACGCATAAACATGCTAAGGCCCCGCTCAATCGGTTAATTCAAGATTTGCAATAAAATTTTAAAATTGCTTTACCTTAGTTGGCTTCAATTCAGAATCTGAATTGATCTAAGACTGTCGGTCTGGCTCTCCGTCTGATGCCTGTCCATTTAAATTTGTGTTCAATCTACAAGTCGCAATTTTTGAGATATTTTGATGCAATTTGGTACATTGATCAAAATACGAATGTTGTCGAAAATCTTTTTCTTTTTCGACCACTCCCCATATAAAGTGCAATTTTTAAAATTTCTCGGCAGAGGTGTCTAAGTAGTAGTAGTACTTCGGCAATCTAAATTGCCATGAAAACTTTGGACCGGCTGGGGCGATTTTTGAACACCCTCTCATATAATGAAAACTGAACATCATACGACAAAAAGGTATAATTTTCAATGCTTGATGATGAAAATTATATAATAATAGTAATTTAACATTAAAAAAATTAACTGGACTAGTTGAGCTTACATTTTGGATTCCACCTTTCATAAGGAATTTGACGAAAATTTTTTTTTCTTAAAACAAAAATGTGTAAGTTTTAATATTTTATGTTAAAAATTGATCCATAATAGTAATTTGATATAAAAAATGACTCAGCTGCGTTTTGAACTCGTACTTCAATCTACGACCTAGTTTCGAACCTCTTTGGTTACAACCATTCTTACGGAAAGTAAGCTTGTATTTGCGAAGACATTTCATTTTTAATATACGGTTCCATAATGGTAAATTCATATGAAAAGAGGGTGTAATTTTTGTGTTCTATGGCAAAAATAAGAATTGTGTGTTAGACAATCCGGTATAAGGCATTTTCGTAATTCGACATTCTTGAGCAGCATCTACAATAACAATACCCTTTCCGTATTAGTATGATCCAACTGATCATGATACAGTTGATATTTGTTTCTCCGCTTTTGTATCCGTTCTGATGGCTTAAACGCTTTTGCTCTTAATGTTTCTTCTAAAGTTTCCTCTTGAGTGCTACGGCTTAAATCTGAAGTATATTGTTTGTCTTCATATATCGACGCTTGCCCAATATAAATCATGTGTTGAGTTTTTATACTGCTTATATCCGTTTTCGCCTTAACTATTCTTTTATAAATCGCGCTCAATAACTTCTTTATAACCTGAGCATAGCTATGTTGTACCACGTTTTCTTGGTTTCTTCATAAGCGATTTGCGGCATTTTGTTGGGACGATTTGTTTTAAATGTGTGTGTGTGTGTGTAGATTTATCTTGCCACAGGTAATTTTTCTTGAATGATCCCAAAAGTTGATTCAATTCATTATCAATTGCATTCGTCTTTGAGTCGTAATATGTCAGCATATATGACCACAAGCCGTTGGGACGCAAGATTGCATCTGTAAACATGAGTTAAGCAGATTGACAAGCAAATGATTCTGAAACGATTAGAATAATAAAAATATCCACATATTTTATCGTTCGTGGTGTGATATGTTTATACATACATTCGGAAAAAGTTAATGTACCCTACACAATAAACGATGTAGAATATAATTCAATGCTTGATAGTTACAAAACTACATTTGAATTTAATAAAATGTACATTGCATGACTTACTTCATTCATTCATTAAATGTTTACGTACTATAGATAGATGTACGCGATGTTCGTGACTTTGCAAAACGTTTAACCCTTTAGCTATTCGATGTCTCTCTTCAATCACGGAAATGAATTAGAACGCACATGCACATGCAGAAACAAACCAAATATGAAATTGTGTCCACGAGTAGCAAAAGAGTTAATTCGAAATTCATTCATAACACCATTGTTTGCATTAAATTCTAGGGCATATATTTTATTTCTACTTAGCAACGAGTGTATTGGTTTGGTTATGTTTGGCATTACATTTAAAAAAAGTTCAGTTCATTGTTGTCTATTGACGCGTCGAATCTGAAAATAAATGGCTTATAGCGCACGTTCAACATATCAACTATCGTCAAATAATCTTATCAATGAATTAAATCATTTCACAGATGATTCATATAAATATCGTTCAAAATCTTCTAATCCTCCTAAAAATTCTGCATTTTCGACAAATAGAACGCGATACGTGCCACCATTTTCCATACAGACTCAGCAAAAGAATACATTGGTAGTAAAGGGTCCGCTACAATGTATGCAGCAGGGTGTAGCAAATGGCGAACGTGCCAATGGTAAGTTGTAGGAAATAAAGTGCATGTGATGTCTTAGTATATGCTGTGCTTCTTACAGACACTAAACTAATTGGAGAGAAGAAATCTTTGCTAAATATTAATAAATTCTCATTAAACAAATCCTTACGTAAAACTTCGTTTCGCTTGCATTTTGATCGCGGCGATTTGCCTATTAAAATGGAATATATGTGTGGAGGCGATAAAATTGGTTGGACAGTAAGTTAAGACGAATCGAAGGGAATTCACGAAAAAATATTTTTATATGTATAACGATTGAGGTATAAAGATTGCTTAAGAAAGGTTGGTACCAGACAAAAAGGGAAACGAAAAATAGCAGTAGATAGCTTTGAGGTCGCCTTTCCAATAGTCGCCAACTTATGTTTTACTTGTTCGTTTATTAATCGGTTAATCGGTAATATTACCCATTCAGGTCTTCAGAACGATAGCAGAGCAAGCAAACGCTAGCTATATCGCTATATACATTCTCATTGGCATAGTCATTGTCATAGTCATTGTCAATGTCCTTTGTGTCAATTCGTTACCTGTTTTAGGTGTGCTTGTAGAAGGCGCCTTTCCTTTAACCTTTTTTTTTTAACATAAATTTTTAGCTTTCTGTTCTGTATTATTTCAAGCGCGGGATCATGGGGGCACAGGATTGAATAAGATCGATTAGGAATTTTCATTGATCAGCGCATATCAATGTATTAGAAGGGAACAAAGAACATTACATTTTCATACTGACTATGGCCTCTTGTCGTGAAAAATGTTTCCTTCCTTTTTCTACGCCCATGAGAATATGAGACATTTTTTCATTTTTCGCCTGGAATTTGCCGTGAATTCTGTATGCTTCCACAGAAAGTAAAAGGAACAACACAGCTGAGAAAAAATATGTTTAATTGGCGAAGAGGAATTCGGGCATTCGTTTGGTAAATGATACGCAGAACATGCGGCTAAGTCAAACAAGTAAAAAAATTATATTTCGTACTAAGCGAATCTTTTTTACCCAACATCGTTTTCCGAAAGGAGGTGGGGAAAAGAGGAAAAAACTAAATTTTTGATGCTCTATAGTATTGGTAGCGAGGGAGGGGCTATTCTTTTTCGTTCTTGCAGAATAAAAATGAAAATTTATTTCATGTATTTATTCTCAATTGTTGTTGCATTGTAGGCGTGACCTTTCATTGTTTTGGTTCATTTTCAAATTCTTTGCAAATTTTGTAGATGATCTTTAATTTTTGTGAACGGAAGAATGTTTATTACAGACACTATACAGTTGGACATACGGACCTGCTTAAATCAATGTACAATTTGATACCGATCAATAATATATATATATATATATGTATATACCTTATGGGGTGGAGGGGATTCTGAAGCTTCTTTCTGAGTGCTGCAGACGTTTTGACGTAATGCATATATATATATCCCTCATAGTGATTGAGTTTAAGGAAAAGATTATGCCCAGGCACCTAACTAAAATGAAGAACAGTTTTCACATTTGTTTAGAATTTTCTGCTCTCTTTCTATTAGAACTTTCTACAATCGGGCGAATATAGAAAGAAATCTGTTTGGTGACATACATACATACATATATGCATACATATATAATATAACTTTTCGTAATTTATAGTGTGAAATGATTTCGTGTGCAAGAAGAAAATGCAATGTCAAAATTGTTATTTGAATTCTTGGCAAATGAATATAAGCAAATGGGTTTGCATGTTCCAGTTAATAGCGTGCATGCATATGCATATGTGTATTACAGATTGACATCGATAAGCTTGATTACAATTTTTATTTGCCACTATTCTTTGATGGCCTATCGGAGACAGAGCATCCTTACCCTACGTATGCACGTCAGGGTGTTTACGATTTGTTAATAGCGGGTGGCGAAAAAATTCCCCCAACTATACCCCAACTAATATTGCCGCTAAAAAGTAAGTAAAATGCAAACTTTTACTTTGAATTGGGTCATTAAAAAAAAAAAAAAAAAAAAAAAAAAAAAAAAAAAAAA